ATCATGATACATGCATAAACGCATCATACCTTACAATCTCATTTATGTTGAGAACATCATTGCTTGATCCATATCATGCATTGCATATGACTGACCTTTATCTTTCAGGAAAGATCCAGTCAAGTTCTCAGCTATGTCCAAGACTTTAGCCTGGTTCAGTTAAATCAACCCTAATATTTTCCTGATTCTTATCCAGTCAAAGGCCTTCTTTGGTTCAGTCAGATCGACCCTAAGATCTCCCTGATTCTTATCCAGTTGAAGATATTCCAAGACCTTGACCGGTTCACTTAAATCGACCCTAAGATTTTCCTGATTCTTATCCAGCCAAAGGCCTTCTCTGGTTCAGTCAGATCGACCCTAAGATCTCCCTGATTCTTATCCAGTTGAAGATTCCAAGACCTTGTCCGGTTCAGTTAAATCGACCCTAAGATTTTCCTGATTCTTATCCAGCCAAAGGCCTTCTCTGGTTCAGTCAGATCGACCCTAAGATCTCCCTGATTCTTATCCAGTTGAAGATATTCCAAGACCTTGCCCGGTTCAGTTAAATCGATTCTAAGATTTTCCTGATTCTTATCCAGTCAAAGGCCTTCTCTGGTTCAGTTAGATCGACCCTAAGATCTCCCTGATTCTTATCCCAGTAGAAGACATCCAAGATTCTCTCAGCATTCCTGTTGAGGTAGTAATCGCTCCAAGATTCTCTCAGCATTCCTGTTGAGGTAGTAATCGCTCCAAGATTCTCTCAACATTCCTGTTGAGGTAGTAATCACCCAAGATTCTCTCAGCGTTCCTGTTGAGGTAATAATCACCCAAGATTCTCTCAGCGTTCCTGTTGAGGTAGTAATCGTCCAAGGTTCTCTCAGCGTTCCTGTTGAGGTAGTAATCGTCCAAGGTTCTCTCACCGTCCCGTTGAGGTAGTAACCATCCCTGGTTCATTCATCACCTTTTTGAAGCTCCAGATTCAATTCCTGTAACCAGTCAGGGCGTATCTATACAAAGAGTTTGAAGACCAGCTCCTGTAACAGGCCAGGTAATCATTTTCTTTTTCAGGTACGCAAGTTCTCGCTAAGGAATCTCTTACACAATCGACACCCAGGTGGCATCTATAAGCCCATTCACCTATCCATCAATCTCCAAATGGCATCTGTAAGCCCATTCCCACCATCACACTACTATGTGAGCGCAAATTTCTGGGCACTCTAGTGTTCAATCATCTTCCACCTTCAGATTACGAAAGGCACGTCAGCCAATCTACATCCTCAGGTCTAAGAAGATTGAACAGGGGCAACTGTTGTACCCCAAAATTTTCCCTCCCATATTCTTCAAAGATTTGCCAAAGATCAAGGTTCAAAGGCCACTCAAGGGTTGCATAGTCCAGTGGCCTCCTAACAGCCAAAATTAGGGTTTTGATTCTAGCAAAGAAATTGAAGCTTCCAAGGGTCCAATCAAGTCCTACATGCCTACAAACATTGTCAAGTATCCTCATGTCAAGTTTCAAGACTTACAGCACAAAATTGCACAGTCAAAAACCCTAATTGCTCAACAGTCAACTGTAGGGGCAAAATGGTCATTTGACAGTCAAAAGTCCAAATTTTTGGTCAACATCTTATTTTGAAGCCACAAACATCATTTGATCAATGCTTGATCATGATTCTCAAGGCATGGCTCAAAAAGTCTCAAGATGCAAAAGTTTATATATTTGGACAGTTGAAAAAGTCAACTGTAACTTGACCAAGGCATAACTTCCACATGGTTTATCAGAAAAATTCCATCCAAAGCTCATTTTGAAGAGAAAGACATTTCCTACAACTTCTCTTCACACTTAAAGTCCAATAAATGCTCTCACAAAAAGTTATCAATCTCAACATTATAGGTCATTTTCAAAAGTCAACAAAAAGACACTTTAAGTCAAAGACCATAACTTGAGATTGGTAAATCAAAATGACATGGTACCAAAGGCATTGGATATAGGACTTCAAGACCTTTCCAAAATGTCCAAGAACATGATCAAAGCTTAAAAATTGAGCAAGATATGCCTTGTGGAAGTTGGGAAATTTTTGGGAATTTTGAAAAGTCAACTTTGCTTCAAATGCCTCAAAATTGCTAATGGGCCTCATTTTCTTCCAAGAATCATCATCCAAAAGTTATGCACGACCCATTGACCCAAAGGGGAGTTATTTCATCATTTTTTATTATTTATTTGAATTTTTATCACCATTAATTCATTTAATTAAAATAAAATATGACAAAAATAGCAAAGCATGTGTTTTAAATCTTTTTTGCAGCATATTCTCTCATCTACTCACTCAAGATTTCGTGCACACTCAATATGGCAAGAATCTCCATTGATTGGCATAAGAATGGTATGAAAAAGATTGAAAAAGATACCATTAAAATCAAATATTGGAACATTGATTGCAAAGGTTAATGGACTTGGATTTCTACCCTAATTCGTTCCATATACATACACAAACACAACCCTAATGCTGAGGACCTAAAAGCTGCGCTAAGAATAACAAACAAACTTTGCATTTTTCACCAAAAATTGCAAAATTGATTTCATAGCTAGAGTGCTCTTCAAGGCCAAAAAAGTATTCCAAAGGCTTGCTGGGACATTTTTGGACGTGCCTCAATCATCTTCCACTCTCCATACATAAAGAATTGGTAAAACCGAGTTGCTTCCCTTTCAAAATTATGCATAATCGTGTTTGGATTTCTGGACATTTTTCATACATTTAAACTATTGTTTTATACTAACATGGACATTCTGAATCTATTGGTGCTATTTAATTGAATTATCATTGCCTGTATGCAAAGTTACCATGGGAGCTCGTTAGGGTTTCAAAGATGTGAAATTGGGGACTTTTGCATATGGAAAAATTAGCCAGCAAGGCATACACCATTGAAATCGTGACGTCCTGAAGGACAAAATCTATGCCTCGCGCTCAATTTATGATGAGCCAGATTCTAATCGCTATTATTGTGTGTTGTAGTTAGTGGGGGTCTAAAACCCCCGCTATTTGATTCTACTTGCAGGTATAACATGGAGAAGAAGCATGCGTGGCTAGAGGTTATTGGGCTATCCAAAATTGGCGCGTGATTTTATTGGTTCAGACCATTAACTTTTATCTTTTCTTATAATATTCGCGTTCCATATAATTGACAAACAAACGCGCTTGGCTGGTTGGTTGATGCGTTGTCCTTCAAGCACTGGGACCTGGGTTCGATTCCCAGGTCCCCATATTCCTCTATATTTTTTATGTTTACGTGTTCAGGTGATCACCACACTCAAGGGAGTACCATAGGCCTCAACGTTTGTGCCTGCCACGCGCCAGGGAGATTCATCCAATGGCCAGATCACGTAGTCCAACATGTACCCTCAGTCAACCATGTGCATACAAGCCAGAAAAGTCAACGTGGCCAAGCTTCTATTGGGCCAAATTACTGCAGATCAACCTCCTCCATTTGGGTCAACACCCCCAATGTTTGCATATTCTTTTAATTTCTTTTCTTCTCTTTTTATTTTATTTTATTCTTTTGACCACTTTTATTTAATTTATTTCAAATAATTTTCATAAAATACAAAAAAAAATCAGAAAGTCAAAAAATAAAAATATATTTTATTATATAATTCCCTAATGTTTTATTTTGTAAATAAATTTAATAATTAACTTAGTTTTAATTTTAGGTTTAATTTTAATGCTTTTTTTAAAATAAACTAAAAAATGTAGAAATTAGGGTTTTTATACTTTTATTCCTTTTTTCCTTTTTCACCATATTAATTATTAATTATTTTTGTAAATAAATATGCCATTTAAATAATTAATGTAAATTAGGTCAAACTTGAACTTATTTCTTTAATAATTAAAAAATGCTTAGAATTAGGGTTTTAATTCCATTTAATTTTCTCATTAAATTCCATAAATACAAAAACTCCAAAAAATAAGTTCTTCCTTTTATTTAATTTAATTAATTTATAATTTCGATTTAATTTCTTTAAAAGGGTCCAACGCCCTCGCATTCTCGATTTTATTTCTTTTCGCACATTTACTTTTATTTCTTTTTTTAAATTTCATGTAATTACCCCAAAGCTTTGTAATAGATACTTAGAATATTTACTTTCCGCATTTTTTAATATTTCAAATCGGGTCTTGGTTTAATTTGGCGATGTTGACCCGCGCCTTTGTATTAGCGTAGGAGTTTTAATTCTGCACCTTTTAACTGTTAATAACCACATGAAAGAATGAATGTCAAAAATAAAAACAAAGCGTAGATCACCAATGCATGACAAGATAAACATAATTGAAAATAATACACAATTCACACACCACCCCTAGGGTACGCCTCACTGTTGCCTTGCCCATCGAAACGTGGTCGTCGAGTAGAGGACATTTTAATAAGTCCTCATGTCCATGAACATGGCATGGGGGTAGCTTCTAAGGTGTCTTCCTATTGCTCTGGTGACCACACTGTCCCGAACCCTCGAATTGACCCGAACACCTCCAACGGTGGTGCTACCTACCTCTCAATGGTGGGATGGCACTACTTTAAGGACATTTACACAGACGAATTCCTTAGGGTAGGTAGATGACTCGTAGATACTTGCTCTGAATTCAAAACAAATCAAAAACTCTTTTCACACCGACACTTTTCAAAAAGCTTTCATAAACAACTTTTCAAACACTCTTGAGGACTGATACAAGAGTCGAACTGAAATTTTAAACGAAACTTTTTTTAAACCCACAGTTGAAAAGCAAACAAACATTTTGAAAACACAAATGAGCAAGTATCTAAGAGCCCATGGATAACCATGGATAGAAAGGGTGCTAACACCTTCCCTTTCTATAAATCTACCTCCCGAACCGAGAGCAATCTCTATAAGGAATTTTTCTGTGCTTTTGTCCTTTCCATGTTGGAGAAAATAAAAGACGGTGGCGACTCTTGCTTCCGCGACATTTCGCGAACCAGCATTAAACAGTCAGTTCCAGATCCACCGATCACAGGTTACACTGAAGATGATGTTGTATCTACTGACTTTGTTGGTGATAGCAGGTCTAGCATATTTGATGCCAAGGCAGGAATTGCTTTGAATGAAAACTTTGTGAAACTTGTTTCTTGGTATTCCATGGGGCACAAATGAATGTGGGAATATGATAGATGATACCTCATCGAACCTTTCCCTATCTCAAGACCAGCTCTTTAGCATACATGATTTTTCACCTAAATGGGCTTATGCTGAATCAGAAATTCAGGTGTTTATTATTGGAACAGTTTTGAAGAGTAAACCAAATGTGGAAACATGTAACTGGTCCTGTATGTTTGGGGAAGTTGAAGTTCCAGCTACTGTTTTAGCTAATGGAATTCTATGCTGTCAAGCTCCACCTCTTGAGATTGGACTGATCCCTTTCCACATAACTTTTCCAATAGATTTGCTTGTAGTGAAGGTACCAGAAAGTATATTAAGTTGAAACGTAAGACAGATGCTGATAAACAACCGAATCCTGGCACGGGCCTTGGGAAGGTGGTTCTAAATGCAAGAGGCAGTTTACCAACAAAGGCTAGCAGAAAGGATGTGAGGAAGTATGATGATTTTGGCTTACCCATTGATGATGATGATAGCTTACTAGTTCCTGAAAAGAAAGAGGGTGATAGGCCACAGAAGACAACAAACCAACTCCTAACCGAAACTAACTCAACTGTAACCAGCTTTCCTTTTTTCCCACCTCTTAACCAAATTTTAACCATACCATAACCAATTCCCTAACAGCATAACTAACTTAACTCCTAACTAATTTCTAACATTATCCTAACAGAATTAACTAACCACATAACCAACTCATGGCTTATTTTACAACAAACTTCCAGCATATATACATAATAGAGATTGACAGAATGGAGGAGGAGATTCAACACAAAAAAAGAATGATTTACCTCTCAATCATCTCATTCTGGAACGGGCAGAAGAATCACCACAAAAACCAGGAAAAGCTCTCTCATCTCATCTCATATTCATCCTCATTCTTCAACTTCCAAAAGAATCAATAAAAACACCTGAACAAATATCCCTATCTCTCTGCAATCTTCTTGGATCCTTTCTCCATAACTGTCCCTCAATCGCATCTTCACAGTTCTTCAGTCATCATCTCACAACTTCAACCTCCACCATTTTCTCCGAACCTTACTCATATCACTCCATCGCCAATACTCCCCATTCTCTTCTTCAACACAAAAAACATCATCATCTTTGTTCTCTACACTACAACATGCAACAATAATGAATTCAAAAAACACAAAAGAGAAAAGTTGAATAGAAGAAGATGATCAACGCCACAACAACGCAGAGCACACAGAGAAACAGAAGAAGAATAATAGAGTGAAGAATTCACCTCTGGTTTTCTTGGAATACCAGCATCGCTGAAGAACCACTGGAATCCTTTGGTAGGTAATCCTGGGAACTCATTCGATCCTTGATCTCCTCATATCTCTGTATAGCCTAGAGTATGTAGATTCAAAATCGCGGCGAATTCGTACACGGCCTTGTCCATCTTTTTGCACTTAGGTTTAGATTCAGTTTTACTGAAGAGAGATGGAATAAGAACACGGGAGAGACGAAGAGAAGAGAAGCAGGGATATGATGTGGTGTTGTCCGGCGGTTCTGATGCTGAAAAGAGCGACGCCATGGTTGCGAGGTTGAGAGAACGACGCGGTGATGAGAAGAAGAGTTTGAGACGGAGCAACTCAGGCGAAGGCCGGCGGCGCCGCTGCTGTTCGCAAGTGGAGAAGAAGAGAACACCTCTCTCTTTTACCCTAACCCCTTTTTCAACTTTCCTATATTTTATTTTTTAGTTTTAATTGTTTTTTTGTTTTATTTTTTCTTTTTGAATCATATTATTACATGTTTTATTCTTTTTATTATCATTTCAACAAACAAATATAATAATATGATTAATAATAAAATTAAGAATGATTAATATGGGCCAAACTAGTCAATTCTTGGACCATGATTATTTTTATTTTCTTGCTGATTGTGTCCATATTTGATGGGGCCTAATGTCATTGTATATTTTACAGCACATAGTGAATTTAGTTCGCACCTCCTGAGATCTTATTTCCCATACTCATTTCGATTGCGACTAATTTTGGCGATTTATTTTCTTTGGCAATATTGGTAAATAAAAGAGACTTGAGTGAGGAGTTTCATGAAGTTTCAAAGCTAGTTAAGAGCATAATTTTCAATCATTCGCTCAAGGAAGCTTTAATAGAATTCTCTTATGGCTTGCATGGTTATGAAGAGGCGACATACCTTCTCCGTTCGGTATCGTCACAACTCTGATTTTACTCCTGCACTTTACCACTTTCTAGGTAGAATTCCCTCAAGATTCTAACTTTAGGTCTAATACACGATAACATTAGATTTAGAAATAGGCTAGTCTTCCTGTGACTTTCGTCTTCCTGTGACTTTCGTCTTCCTGTGACTTTCGTCTTCCTGTGACTTTCGTCTTCCTGTGACTTTCGTCTTCCTGTGACTTTCGTCTTCCTGTGACTTTCGTCTTCCTGTGACCTTCGTCTTCCTGTGACTTTCGTCTTCCTGTGACTTTTGTCTTCCTGTGACTTTCGTCTTCCTGTGACTTTCGTCTTCCTGTGACTTTCATCTTCCTGTGACCTTCGTCTTCCTGTGACTTTTGTCTTCCTGTGACTTTCGTCTTCCTGTGACTTTCTTTCCTCCTTTGCATATGCAGTTAAAACAAAAAAACTTTTTTTTTACAAACTTCAAAAAATACATAAAAATTTACTGACAAAAACCATGTCTTGGCTAAGTTTGAGAGATGATGAGCGGGTTTCTTCTCGACATTATTATTCTCTTGTTCTAAGCTTTGGTATGATTCAAGTCTCAAAGACTCATTTCATGAATAAATAGAGAAATGGCTAAAATCTCTCTCTTGAGGTTAACTAGCTATTATCTACAAGCAAAAACACCAACAAACATAAAAATCTTTTTTCCCTCAGGCCTTTCTTTCAAACCCTTTTCAAAAGAGCGTATTAATTCACTTCTGTGCTGACGCGTAAATCTCCAAAGGTCGAGTTGCGGCAGAAGGCGAGATTAATACTGTTCGTTAAAGAAAATACAAACAAACAAAAACATATAAGCTGAACTACGGCTGCTCTGATTCCTTAAAACGGATACGTAGGCATTGGGGTAGGGCCCAGGCGAGCACAATTTTATTTTCCCTACTCTTTTCCCCTTTCTTTTGCATGCATTTTCCCTCCAGTAGTATAATAGACAGTAAGCATAGATTAAACACACCCATAAGATAGATAACAAGAGTGGATACCGTAGAGTACTACGGGCGTGTGGGGTGCTAATACCTTCCCCTCGCGTAACAGACTCCCTTACCCTTATCTCTTGGTCGTTCGACCTTGATTTCATCCTTCTCGGGTTTTCTCGATGTTTACCTTTCCCTTCATGTGGGATAAAAGACGTTAGATGGCGACTTCATTGTTTGATGATTTTCAGCCGGTTGTTTCAGCTGGCGACTTCACTGGGGAAAGGTCGACCAAATGCTGGTCCATCCCGGAGTCGCTCCTAGCTCTTGCTTTCTTTTATTTGGGTGTCTATTTTTATGCTTTCAGTTTACTCATTTGTACATGTTTTCCTGAGCATAAGTTTGTATTGCATTTTATTGCTTTCCCTATTTGTTATCTATTGTGCTGGACTCTGTTTTCCATGTTGGGTGGGGATGTCACTATTGAGGTAAAAGGCCCAGTACCCAGGCCAGAGTGCACTAGGACACTAGGAATAGAGTGGGGGCATGACGTCTATAGGACGTGGTCCGATTAGTGCAGTCTTGTCATATACCATGCTCGGATGAGGTTCAAATGAATTACTATCGGCACCCACGTCTGTGGGTAAGCCCATATTACTTTCAGGCGGACCCGTGATTTTCGAGTTACCATTGTCTCACCCTGACCTAGTCTTCACACGTGAGTGGGGAGGGATTTATCATTACAGGTACAGTTGGTGACTATGTTCAAATGGTTACTCGTGCTCAGTTGGTGACTATGTTCTGATAGTGACTGTTATTCTGTTGGTGACTATATGGGTCTCAGATTTATTTATTTATTTATTTCTGGATTCGGTATTCAGGATGGTTATCTAGTTATGTTCCGGACCTTTGATCCTGATATATTTTACTTGGTCAGAGATTATACAACGGTTAATCATGGTACTTGGTTCCATTGTATGCTGAATTTGGTTCTGAACCTTTGATCCTGTGATATCCATATTATTCAGCAGATTTATACAGCAGTTATCCAGAGGATTGTACAATTGTTATGCTGAACTTTTAAACTTATGTCATTGCACCTTGCATCATAACATGTTTATTTTACACACAAAAGGAAATGTGAAAGATTATATGCAAAAAAAAAATGTTTGAACATGGCATTGCATCCGCTCATTCACCTCATGCATCCATAGTAGGTACTCCGAAGGTACTCAGAATGGGGAATCCTTATTCAGACTCGGTATTTTCTTTTCAGAGCTGCAAATCTTGACTTCTCGTCGCTTCGTGGTCAGATTCAAGATATGGAACAACTTCATGGGGAATTGGACGAGATGAAAGAGCAGATGGGATTCGTGGTGCTAGACATGCAGGATTTGGTCCGTGGACAAGAACTCCTGAAAGAAGAGAACACTTAGTTGAAGACTCAATTGAATTTGGTTATGGAAATTTTGGGGACAATGTTGAAGAAAGAAGATGTTTCTATGCCTGCCACAATAGGAGTTACCATTCCTCCCCATAACCTGAGGACTCTTGTAGGTCAGGGAGTATCTCCTCCGCAACCGTGCATTCAAGGACCCTCCCATCCGCAACAAGTTGTCACTTCCCGAGAGGACCCAAAAGGCAAAGCCCGTCAGCAGAGGCCAAAACATCCTGAACGAAAATTTGATCCTATTCCAATGTTGTATGCACAATTGCTTCCTCCCCTGCTAGAATTACATTTGGTCAAACTCCAAATTTTCACTACACATGAAAAACGCCCTCATGGCTTTGACAACAATGCTAGGTGCGATTTTCATTCTAGGACACCTGGTCATGATACTGAAGATTGCGTAGCTTTTAAGCACCAAGTCCAGGACTTGCTTGATGCAGGGACAATTCTCTTCACTCCCGAAGGTCTGAGTGTGCAAATCAATCTTATGCCAACCACTACAAAGAATAGGGCTACGCCTTCTCCTCTTCAAAGTTCTATTTCACGATCGGAGTCACGTCATCCACAACCTATAATCCCGGAAAGTTCTCACCAGCAGTCGTTTGTAAGTTGTGAAAATCGATTGGTTAATCAAAACCAGAATGTTCCTCGTGTTCACTTGGCTCAGTGTGCTACTCGGCAACAAACCTATCAACAAATACATACGCAACAAGGTAAGCAAAAGGATAGGAAGCCAAAGAGGGTGTTCGACATTGTTCCTTTGACTTATGGCCAACTGTTCTCTCAGTTGCTCAAGCTTTCCTTGGTGGAACCCAAGCCACTGAAGCATGTCATTCCTCCTTGTTCTATGGATTCCAATCCTAATGTGCAGTGTGATTACCATGCTGGGGTACTAGGTCATTCTATTGAAGACTGCTGGGCTTTCAAAGAAAATGTGCAAGACCTGCTTGATGAAAAGGCTATCAATTTTGGGCCAGTCAGTTAAATTTGAGGTCTCCTTCGACTCAGTAAATTTCAAGATTGCCAGATCATCATCTG